CAATTGTTTTCATAAACAGAGTACGAATGATCATGGATTTCCCATTGGTCAAAATTATTATTTTAGGGGTTTGTACGAATGTAGATTGAAATTGTAGAAAGAATAAAAAAAGAATGGCTTTAAAAATGTCTTTGAAAACATCCAAGGTTTCAAATAATCTTTATTTTAACTAGCCTTAGAGGGCGCTTCGCGCCCATCTTCTAAATTAATTGTGAACATGTTCTCTTTGTGTACATCGTAAAACAAAACAAAAATAATTCGCGGATTTTCACAAAAAATTTCGTGGATTTTCAAAATTTTCAAAAATTTAATGAAGATCGAATTTTGATGGAGACAAATATTTGAAATTTTGATCATTCATAAACCTTCCCTGGGGCTCCGTGAGGTACCACAAAAAATTTTGGCCCGATCGGTTCAGCCGTTTTGACGTTTATTGGATACAAACAAACAAACAGACAAACAGACAGACAGACAGACAAGCCAAATTTATATATAGATGAGAAAGTATGAAAACTATAATGTTTCTATGAAAGATATATTCATAAAAGTACCGTTAGTGCTTCATTTAAAGCATTCCATGATTATAAATATTTCCAAATCTTTAAAAAAGCAAATACAAAAATACAAAACAAAATCAATAGTTTTTGGATCCCAATATTTAACTGATATGAAAAAGAAACTTCTGAAAATTCTAAAGCCCACGTGGCACGTGATACTAAAGTAAATAAGACGTAAGCTCGAACTCTTTACAATAGGTTTCCAATTATAATTCCTTTTACTGAAAAGTTATTGAGAAGAACAAAAATGTTTTGAATTTTTCTCATACTCGTGCATAAAATCAAAACTAGAGGAGCTATTAAGTGACAAAATCGTACCAGTAATGTCGTCAAAATAATCAAACTGGGTTTCCGTAACAATCGAATTCCCGGTAATTTTAGCAAACTTTAGTTAAACTTTCAGTTGATTTCTTTGAAGGCAATTATTTTGAAAAATTATGATTTCTTAATATGAAAGGAATGGAGTTTGTGCCACAAACTCTTATTTTCTAATTCCACTATCTTTGCAACACGATGTCTTAGATTTTAGATATTTCAGACTATAAATTCTGTTAAATCAAATAATCTAAGTTTAGAAAAGTTTGTAAGGTAGACTTAGTTGTCTACATAATTCCAAAAATGAGATATTTTGTGTATTTTTTAGAAAAATAAACAAGAAGAATTTATATTATTGATAGAATAGTATTCGATCCAGTTTATTAATACCCTCGGAGAAATCATTGTAGAGGCTTTTAAGACTGATTGTCTGCTATAAAGAAATATGAGTGAAAAGAAGAATAGAAATCTAGTGGAACCAGGAGACTAGAATTTAAATTTTATTTATTTTCCGTACTTAAGTTCAACAAATCAAAATAAAATGAAAATGAGTAAAATTCTTTCAAAGATACTTTTGAAAAACTGCAGCACAAAATGTCAAAACATGTAGTTCACTTTTTTAAGTAAGCTGTGCTTCAAATGAATAAAACCGCACTTAAACTGAGTAAACTTTATTTCATATAATAAAAATGTATTTAACCTTATTAAAACTGTATTTAAACTTATTAAGTCTGTACTTAAATTAGATAAAACTGTATCTTAACTGAGTAAAATTGTACTTAAAATGAGAAAACTGTACTTAAAGTGAGAAAACTGTACTTAAACTGAGTAAAACTGAACTTAAAATAAAAAAACTGTGTTTAAACTTATTAAAACTGTATCTATACTAAGTAAAAATGTACTTAAATTGAGTGAAAAATTACTTAACTGAGTAAAATTTTACTTAAACTTAATAAACTTTATTTAAATTGAGTAAAACATCTCTTGATTCAATACTGTATTTAAGTTAAGTTTGAGTAGGTTAAACTGTGGATGCTGGAGAGAAGAACGAGAGAAGATATTGAGATGAATTCATAAATCATTACTAAATGGATATTGTCAGATGAGAAAGAGTCCATAATGCTGCAAGACAGGGGGGGGGCCTAAAGGGGAGGGGAGGGGGGCGGTATGTACTCTTCAGTGCTTGTATAGGAATAAAGTAAAGGATCTTTCCGAGTTTAAACGGAGACTGTATTATTTTTTTATAAATGACTTGATTTCAACAAATTCATTCAAATTTATTCGCAAAAAGATATTTGCATTGGTTTCTTAAAAACAACCAATTTTAAACATATACATTTAAATTCAAATATAAAAATGGCCCAATTGCAATTGGGATTCCCTTGAAGATGTAAAAGTTTTTTATCTTTAAAATGAGAAATGCTTATTTTTAAATGTTAAAAAGCTGTGGAACACACTGTGTGTGCGGATGAAGGATTGAGGTAAGGAGTATCAAGTATATATCTTGATATTAAAGATAAATATTGCAAAAATGTAAGATCTGACGAGATCTGACGAGGTCTGGAGGAATGTTAAAGATGAATTTAATCCTGTTTTAACATTCTTCATGTTATTCAAGAGTCAGGTTCAATACAATCCAAGCATTATCTAGTAGCAGCCGTAGACTGGGAGCTAGGGTAAACCAGGCACACGGAGTAATAACAAACCAGTCAATACTATTATTTGAAAAGATATTTTTCATACATAGAATATATAAAATATAGAACCTAAACAGTGAAAACTTGCCACAAACTTAAATTTTCTAATTTCTATATCTTTTCAAGCTACAACCAAATTACCTGTCTGAATACATATTTCATAGCTTAAAGTACCAAAAGTCCTGGAAAAATATCAAACGCGACGAATTCCTATCATTTGCATATTATGATTACTAGATATCTCCTTTTAATTTACATTTTTATTTCAATGTTACGTGGGAGAAAAATATCTTAAAAATCTTTAAAATAATCTTATTCCCAGTCTGCTGCGTAGAAAATAAAAGATTTTAGTTCTAGCTTTTTAGTCGCGGATTAGGTTCTCTTCTTTTCTCCACCCTACCCTGATATGCAACCCAACCTAACCTTTCTTCATACCTTTATATGAAACCAGACCTAACCTTTCTTCATATCTTTATATGCAACCCAACTTAAACTTTCTTTATACCTTTATATGCAACCCAACCTAACCTTTCTTCATACCTTATATGCAACCCAACCTAACATTTCTTCCTACCCTGATATACAACCCAACCTAACCTTTCTTCATTCCTTTATATGAAACCAAACCTAACCTTTCTTCCTACCCTGATATGCAACCCAACCTAACCTTTCTTCCTACCTTTATATGCAACCCAACCTAACCTTTCTTCATACCTTATATGCAACCCAACCTAACCATTCTTTCTACCCTAATATACAACCCAACCCAACCTTTCCTTCCTACCCTGATATACTAACCAACCCAACCTTTCCTTCCTACCCTGATATACAACCCAACCCAACCTTTCCTTCCAACTCTGATATACAACCCAACCTAACCTTTCCTTCCTACCCTGATATACAACCCAATCTAACCTTTCCTTCCTACCCTGATATACAACCCAACCCAACCTTTCCTTCCTACCCTGATATACAACCCAACCTAACCTTTCCTTCCTACCCTGATATTCAACCCAACCTTCCCTACCTTCCTACTCTAATATTTAACCCAACCCTCCCTAGCTTCTAACTCTGATATTCAAACCCAACCTACCCTTTCTTCCTACCCTGATATTGAACCCAACCTTCCCTACCTTCCTACTCTGATATTCAACCCAACCTTCCCTACCTTCCTACTGATATTCAACCCAACCTTCCCTACCTTCCTACTCTGATATTCAACCCAACCTTCCCTACCTTGTCACTCTGATATTCAAACCCAACCTTCCCTACCTTTCTACTCTGGTATTCAAACCCAACCTTCCCTACCTTCCTGCTTTGATATTCAACCCAACCTTCCCTACCTAGTCACTCTGATATTCAAACCCAACCTTACCTACCTTTCTACTCTGATATTCAAACCCAACCTTCCCTTCCTTCCTGCTCTGATATGCAACCCAACCCTCCCTACCTTCTCACTCTGGTATTCAAACCCAACCTTCCCTACCTTCCTACCCTGATATTCAACCCAACCTTCCCTACCTTCCTACTCTGATATTCAACCCAACCTTCCCTACCTTTCTACTCTGATATTCAACCCAACCTTCCCTACCTTCCTACCCTGATATTTAACCCAACCTTCCCTACCTTCCTACTCTGATATGCAACCCAACCCTCCCTACCTTCTCACTCTGGTATTCAAACCCAACCTACCCTTTCTTCCTACCCTGATATTGAACCCAACCTTGCTCTGATATTTACATGATATTCTCAACATTCCTTTTCTTCAATAATATTTGCATGAACCTCATCACTTTAAATATAAATGTTTTAATGAGTGTAAGATATATAAAAATACCAAATAAGAAATAAATACTAGTCGACCTTTACTTGAGTAACTTTTCCTTGTCGCGCTTTTTCTAATTTTTAATTGATTTTGCAGCAAAAAATAAACCCTCACTATCCTGTTTTTAAAACTGTATCTAGACGTTTTTTCTCATTATACTAATGTGAAAAACAGATTTCCCGGCTTTCTTAAAAATCCCGGTTTTTTGTTAAGATGATGATTTGTCATAAAATCGAAATTGTGGCTTTATTACTTTCCTTTTTGGGGTAAAAATTGTTTAAAAGAAGTAGTTTACTGNTAGCGAATTTACAATGCATATTTACTGTGTACTCTTATTAATATTGAATTCATGATGATTCTTTCTGTTCATTCTAAATCCTTTTCTTGATATAACAATACAAGAATGAGAAGAATGGATGAGAAGGAAGAATGAAGAGAATGAAAATGCCGGACTCCAACACAATGCTCACTGTCACTCACTTAATGGGGTTCCTTTAGACAAACAGAATTGAACCAATAGGACGGGAGAAGCGGAGCCAGGATCCTCCAATGGTATCTCCCCGCTCCGGGTATCTTTAGTAACAGTAGCTTCAATAAACACCCAGAGATAGGTCTTCAGTCTCAATCTCACGCTCATCCGTATCATGTTTCCGATTAATCTTGGGATGAATCCGACCGGAGGAGGAGGACCTCAGAGAAAATCAGATGATCACATAAAACGTCCGATGAACGCCTTTATGGTTTGGTCTAGAATGCAGAGAAGAAAGATAGCGCAGGAGAATCCAAAAATGCATAACTCAGAGATTTCGAAAAGACTCGGATCTGAGTGGAAAGTGTTAACAGAGGAGCAAAAACGTCCGTTTATTGACGAAGCTAAAAGAATCCGAGCTAAACACATGAATGACCATCCAGAGTATAAATACAGACCAAGACGTAAACCTAAATGTATTCAAAGATCAGGATATCCCTATCCTCTGCCCTACTACTCACCCCAGGGCTTAGATCCATTCAATTCACTTAACTCCGGTCTTATGCCCTCTTCACAACAGATGGAGATGGCGGAGAACGAAAGATCTCGTCTATTCGGATACCCTGCTCCGGGTCCAAGCTTATCTCTGCCTTCGTATCCTTGGTTTACTCCGAACCCATCCTACGAGGCTGCAGCTCATCTATACAAACTCTCCGGGCTAAGTTATGACCACAAACTCTCATATTTTGAAAATCTACCAAAGAACGGGATGGAACAGTTCTCCAGCTCCGTAGGGTTACCAACCCCTTCTCCTGAACCTGCCAAAGAATGTCCAAACCCTGTTGGTTCTTCTCCTCCCCCTCTCTCATCAGCTAGTCTTAGCTCCTTCTACAATTCCCTTTACACAAACTCAGTTTCTAAATCAATGAGCTCAAACTCATCCCAGTCTCTAGTCCCGTCCCTATCCTCCCCCTACTCCGTCCCGTTCTCTCTACCCCACCTAGATCAACTAAGACGACCTGTACCAGTTCTCTTGTAGCAGATTTAACCAAGGAGTTTAAAGAAATGTCGAGCTTTGTCTGGTTTTTGTTCATTTTAGTTTATGAATAATAATAAATAAAATAATTTAACAATTCGTATTTCATTCAAAGCGTTAAGGAATTGAGGATTTGTCACAATTTTCTAATCATATATCTTTGCAACCTAATATCGTAGACCTTAGGTATTTCAAATAGGTGGTTGAAAAGATATCGTGATTAGAAAACTTGAGTTTGTGGCAAAGACTTAATTCCATCAGGAATAGTTACGATCTACAAATCAAGAAGGAAAGGAAGAATAGGTATAAAGTTTCATTCGAATGGAGGGTCACTTGACATCACACCGACATCAACATCTTTTATTTCTTCTTACAATTAAACACTGCTTAAAGGGATTTTTATTTGAAAGAAACAAGAAATTATGCTGAGAGAATCAATGGAAGGTAAAGAGGTTGAGATGACAGAGGTAGAAAGGGAAAGAGGTTGAGATGACAGAGGTAGAAAGGTATAAGAGTCAATGAAAGGTAAAGAGGTTGAGATGACAGAGGTAGAAAGGTATAAGAGTCAATGAAAGGTAAAGAGGTTGAGATGACAGAGGTAGAAAGGTATAAGAGTCAATGAAAGGTAAAGAGATAGAAAGATTAGGAGGTAAATAGATAGAAGAGTGAATGAAGTAGAAAGGTAAAAAAGTTAATGAGGTAGAAAGCTATAAGAGTGAATAAGGTAGAAAGGTAAAGAATGAGGTAGAAAGGTAGAAGAGTGAATGAGGTAGAAAGGTGTAAGAGTGAATGAGGTAAAAGGGTAGAAGAGTGGATGAAAGGTATTAGAGTGAATGAAAGGTATTAGAGTGAATGAGGAAGAAAGGTAGAAGAACGATGATGAAAATGTTTGAATGGATTCATGAATAAAGTTTTCTAGGAGAATGTTTGGAGAGAATCCAATCAGTTCTAGGGTTTGAATTCAAACTTGAGAAAACTGTCATTCTCAGAAATATTTTCAAACTTTAAATCGCAAACTTGGTAACCTTTATTTTTCTGTTTCTAAAGTTGTAAACCTAGAGTTTTCTGTTTCTAAAGTTGTAAACCTACAGTTTTCTGTTTCTAAACTTGTAAACCCAAAGTTTTCGTTTCTAATCTTGTAAACCTAGAGTTTTCCGGTTCTAAACTTGTAAACCTAGAGTTTTCTGTTTTTAAGATTGTAAACCTAGAGTTTTCTTTTCTTAACGTGTAAGCCTAGAGTTTTCTGTTTCTAAACTTGCAAACCTAGACTTTTCTGTTTTTAAGCTTGCAAGCCTAGAGTTTTCTGTTTTTAAGCTTGTAAACCTAGAGTTTTCTGTTTCTAAACTTGAAACCCTAGAGCTATCTGTTTTTAAACTTGCAAACCTAGTGTTTTCTGTTTCTAAACTTGAAAACCTAGGGTTTGTTTTCTATTTCTAAACTTGCAAACCTAGAAATTTTTCTGTTTCTTAACTTGTACACTTAGAGTTTTCACTTTTTAAACGTGTAAACCTAGAGTTTTCTATTTCTAAAGTTGTAAACCTAAAGTTTTCTGTTTCTAAACTTGTAAACCTAGAGTTTTCACTTTCTAAATGTGTACACCAGAGTTTTCTTATTTTTAACTTGTTAAATTAGGTTTCCCTGGATCTACACTATTTTAAACATTTAGTTCTTTTATAATTACATGTTAACTTAGAATTTTCGGATTTTTAATTAGTAAAATAAATCTATTCATGGAAAGAACATATCAACAGTTAGCAAAGCCCCCCCCCTTTCGAACTTTTTAGTAAAAAAATTAAGCCTGATTTACGTTTAATTACATCTTCTTAGGCTAACCTAGTGACAGATTTGAATACCTCTAGAGTAATAAGAGCATATTGTACATCTATCCGCTATAATTAAGAGAGATATGTAGAAAATCTTAATACTTAATGTTGCTTGTTCAAGTAACCTGCAAATATTTCTACTAAAACTCAAGGTTTTAAACCTTAAACCAATATTTGCAGCTTTTCTTCGATTTTGTAACATTTTTAAAATGTTCATTATATGTAGTAAAATATGTCGGCTGTGTACACTGTAGGTTTTGGTTTACTTTGTGTATTTGATTCTTTCATTCTATTCTATTCTATTCTATTCTACTCTATTCTGTCCTATTCTACTTTAACCAAATCTATTCATCCATTATCTGGGTAGATTCCTGTCTTTAAACGGAATTTAGTTGGTGGTATTTTGATGTTTAGGGGTACAGGGGGGTAGAAGGAGGGGGGGAGGAGGGGGAATTCATGTTGTACAAATACTTGCTGCTACCTCGAACCCCACCTGAACCAATCCTTCCAATTCACACTAACAATATAAAACATGGTTGAACATCATTTTGATTTTTAACTTAATGTAGCCTCCCCCACCCCTCTATATGCTATATATCCACGCATTCTTACAATTTTATATTACACTAGCTGGAGGGCCCGGCGTTGCCCGCGCAAAAAAAAATTTGAAAAAAATTAGATTTTGAACTTTTTTCAGCCCAATCGGTCCAGCCGGCCGTTTGACCGGTTATCGATGACATAAATACGAATTCTTGTTTAATTATATAGATAAAATTTATATTTTCAGATATTTTATATAATACTTTCCAGGTCATAAGACTACATATGATGCAGGGTTATATTTTCTAAATAAATGAAAGACAATCAAGAACTATCTTTTCTTCTTTTCTTCAGAATTGAAAATCATGCATTTTACATGGTATTTTAATCAAAATATCAAAAAATCAAAATATCAAAATATCAAAATATCAAAATCAAAATATAATAATAACTTATTCGACTTTTCTCTTTAGTACTTTTTTTGTCGGCATTTGTGTTTTAATTGAAAAAGTCTCTATAAAGAGTAAAGACAGTCCCGAAGTGTAAGTTTAAAGACAAAAACGAATTCAAATAGAAGTAACAGAGCGCTTCTTGTCCTGGTTAGTCCAGGGTGAAGTGTTCAAAGGGATTTTGACTAACCAAGGCAAGTACGTTCGGTTATGATTGTTTTTTAGTCAAAAATATATATTCTAGTTTTGTAGTACATGTACAGCGTCACTAGAAATTAAAATATTCACGTTTAAATCTCTTATATTCTCCTATTAAATTGATGCGCCATGTAGCTTTGAAATGTTCTTTACAAGGGCTACTAAATGTATTCCAACGCGAGGCGACACTTTCAGGTCGGCCCGGTACCATTTTATATAACTGCGTACAGTTAACATTATGTACAGTGTACGGCATTTTTATGTTTAATTTTCTGCTTGAAGTATATGATATGAAAGAGATAGGGGAGGGGGGAGGGGGGTAAGAATAGAAAAGTGGGAAGGGTAGTTTTGAATATTGAATTTATAACTATAGAATCTGTAAGTTAAATGATACGGAAGGAGCTTGGTATTTTTTACCCAGTAAAGTTTACAATGATCCTCCGCTCGGGAATTAGTTGCGGCATTTGAGAATGAAGAAGAGAATTTGCCACACCCCGTTGGGACACCACCCCCCGCCCCCGGTATTCAACCCCGTCCCCCTGGGGCTCCTCCCCCGGGAGGGGGGCGGAGGGTCCCGCCCCCTTTAAAGCGGATACACTGACAAATGTAACACATAAATTTATAATAATACACAGATACTTTAATATACACTACAGCATAGACAGATATTATACAATAGCGAATTCTTAAATTTTTCAGGGGTCGAGAGGGGGGGGGGGAACCCAACACGCCTCTGTGATATTTATTCCCCTTTAAAAAGGTTAAAGCCTTTTTTAAAGTTTTAAACAGCCAATTGATTTAAATCTTAGTCTACAGTACGACATATAAAACAGTGGAACAGAAATACGAATGTTTGACTCAGGTTTTACTTTACTTAGCAATGAACAAAGCAATTGTGCATTGCATGCAGACCCATTTTACTTAATAGCAATCCTGCAATCTAAGCATTGCATGTATAGGGTTGCATTAATAATAGTTTCATAATATTGTTCAAAAGTGGAAAAATACAAAAAAAATACTATATATGTCGTATATATTCTTTGCATTTACATTTCATATCAATAAAGTCTCCATATTATATATTACATCTATCCATCGATCTTACGTTATAGATAATAAACGTAAAACCATTATATAACATTAGAGTTAATGTATTATGATTATTGTTTGCTTTTTCAGGGGATTCTCCCATACTTACTTATTCAAGTTTTCATGGGTAATTCATTAGCATTTATCAACCATACTCATTAAACACATTCTGCATCAAGATCAGCCTCATAGCAGGAGATAGGACTATAATAGAAATAAAACATTGTCGGGTCTATCCTAGAGAACGCTTTTTGGACCACCCTTTCCCCCCTCCCAATCCTACCAGTTACAACTTATGTCAGGGGTAGGTTAGGTTAAGAAAAGTTCTGGGCCGAGCACTGCGTCTAGGACAGACTAGGAAGCTGAGCGCTGCGGCTAGGGCAGGCTAGGTGGCCGGGCGCTGCAGCCACATGTCCAACTAATCCATGGAAAACATACGAGATGTATGTACAAAAAATTGAAAGGAGAGGGGGGGGGTGCAGGTGCAGGAGCGTTCAAAAAGCGTACATTAGGAAATCATTATATTGTCATCAGAAAACTGGTGTATTGTTATAAGAACTATTTTGCTCATTCTTTATATAATGAAATGTCGCTCAGGATTTTTTTAATTTGTGATTGTGAGACTTAAATTACTAAACGCCAATTACAAAATTTTGCAGATTGCAGTTTTATTGCAATTTATTAAAAAAAGTGTAAGGATGATATTTTCCAAACAAAATTAAAACGTTTTAATATTTGCATATATATTGTATTAAATTATATTAAATTATATCCAACAATTTGTTTCAAAAAGTATATATTATATCAAATTATACCCAACAATTATCTTAAAAACAGCATGTAAAGGGAAACATGTAATTTTTTTATGAAATTCTATTTATTTCTTGCAGGGAAAAGGATAAATGAACATGATTTCGTGAAAAAAAAACTTTACAATTTTAGGATTTCATTATAATATTTTGCATTTGCGCCGCACCTCATTAAAGATACATCTTAAATAGATATATATATATATCTAAGCCCTCCCTTCCTCCCTACACCAAAAAATATCACAGTTGCAAAGTTCAGAAATGTGGGACACCCTGTAGTTCAGGAATGTATCCAGCTCATCATATCTCCCTCACTACATATATACGATATATACAATAATAATCTGCAATCAGATTACACAGGACTGATGTAACCCCACAATAACACCAATTATTGACCAGCTGTATCTCCGCCATTGTTGGTAATACACACTCACTAATGTTTAACATAACACATTGGTCATTCTCAGGCCCGGGAATATCTTTTTTAAAATGTTACTTTTTTAGGAATATTCATTGGTCTAATTTTCTCCCTACAATATGAAGATGTAAAAATGATTTTTTTTAGTAAAGAAATTCCAGGGCCCCAAATATTCCCAATCTTTGATGGAATATTAGTTTAGATTCGGTTGAATCTGTAATTTTCTATTCAAGCTTCAATCCCTTCCATACTCCATGAGTCAGAGGATTATTATTCCTCGGATAACATTATCATAAGGAAAACTTTACTTAAAAGTAAATCTGCAAGTGTATTAGAAAAAATATTTTCTTTAGAATCAGAAGAGGGGTCTGTCCTAGTGAACGATTTTTGGATCTAGGAATATACCCAGAAGAGAATGCATTTTGTCAGGAAAGTCTTAATATCATGAGTTGCAAACTGAACTTAATCATGGAGAAATTATTTTCTGTAGATTTTTAGAGAATACGCAAATCTTTCAAATCATTTAATTTTATAAGTTTATACATCAAAAACATTTCTAAGCGAATCTTTATTTAAGTAAAATAAATGTTAAAATAATAAATAAATAAATGCAACAAAAAAATATAACATTGTTAATACAAAATAATATAAATAAAGTAGATTAACTTAAATAAATAATTAATGACTTGTTTGATTATTAATTGTTAATTACAACACGTCAAACAAAAGTACATTAGATTGAACTCTTATGTTTTCAACTATACAACTTGTCACAAAAAAACTATTGATTTTTTTTTGTCTAACTTTACCGCAGATAAGTTTGCTTTTCATATACTTGTGCATAAAATACTTTAGAAGAGTTACAAAGTCACAAAGTCGTACCAGTGATTTCGCATAAATTTATCCTTCTCCTTCTGTCTGGTTAAAGTGATCAAATTAAAAGCATTTTGGATCAAAGTAAAAACACATTTAAACCAAATATCTAAATTTTATTTATTATGATTATCAACGTGGGTGGGGTCTCAGCAAATGTTGGGACCTGAAAAGTGCGAACCCCTTGGATTTCACTGATCCAGGGGGGCTGATCCCCCCTACCCCCCCCCCACTTTATACGCCCAAGAAATTAAGTTTCCATAGCTTCTTGCCTTTCATCATCTCCGACCTCAATACTAAGTTTGGTTTATAGCAAACAGATTGGATAGCACTTGTTTACATTTTACTATGACATATTAGGATAGTCAGGAACTTGTTTTATTGTTGACAAACAATAACGGTTCCTCATTATCAGGAACATTTTCATGATTCTTCGTCATTAGAAACGTGTTTACGGTTCGTCGTCGTCCGGAACGTTTTAACTATTACTCGTCGCCAGGAACGTATTCCTTATTCCTTGTCATCAGAATCGTTTTCACTATTCATCGTCATCAGAATCATTTTCACTATTCCTCGTCATCAGAATCATTTTCACTATTTCTCGTCATCAGAATCATTTTCACTATTCCACGTCATCAGAATCGTTTTCATTATTCCTCGTCATCGGGAAAGTTTTCTTGTTCGTTTCTAGCAGCTGTTTGTGCAATTCTAATTCTTTCCAGAACTGGACCTTAATCAAACTTCAGTTTTTACCATTTTTTTATCAAATAATTTAATTTCTTACAAGTAATCTTGAATGTAATGTGATTTCGGATAAAATCATGTACATTCTTGTAAAGACTAAAAATTACAATTTCAAGTCCCTAGTGTGAGGAAGGTTGAACATTAAAAAAATAAGAGCGAAGATCTTGCCAACAATTGTTTTTTGTTTTTTTAGTTTTCAGGAGTAAAGGGGTCGGACCCTATACTAAAACATATACTTCTAATATTAATGATGAGAGGTAAATATATAATATAAAATATTGGATTAAGAAAATACTTTTTTATATTCATTTGTTTTGTATACCTGTCAAAAGATTTAGCATACTCTGCCTCTCCTCCTGCTGGAGTCCAAGGAACCGCCGGAGAACCTAATCAAAGGAAAAAATAAAAAAAATTTTCGACCAAAACATTTTACAAAATGTTTAATGGGTGTGACTGAGCACTTAAGAGTTATGAATCTGTTGTATCTTAATCAGTGTATATAACTGCATAGTGTATTACTGTATATTCACAAAGGATGTATAATGTGTATACTAGGAATAAATTGAAGAAATAAATTAAGACATCCATTCACGAAGCCCGATCCATTTAAAAGAGGCAACAACAGTATCCTTGAAACCTTTGTTTTATCTAGGACCACACAGATATCCTTATTTTCTAGCTGAAACATTGAGTTATTTGACCTGATGGCTGCTAAGATCTAGATCTAGGTTCTGAGCATGCACAATTTGTCTGATTTCTCCAAGCTCAGCGCCGGTCACCCTACCCCAGGCCCCCAGATCACCTGGAATAAATATAGAACCACAGATTACAAAGATAGATTTTTAGTTGTCAATATAGGACGTCGCGTATTTGTTAATTTTTTTTACGTAATCTAATTGAATACAAAAACTTGATCGTTCAGAGTCAAATATAAATATTTTGTGTTGCGTAATAAAACTTTTATAAAATACGTATCAAATTACGTTAAGCTTCTCTGATGTCTGAACTTAGAATTAATGTAATACAAAAATCAGTGCAATCTTTAGAATTCATCATTAGAACTGTAAAGAGTGTAAATAACAACTTAAAAACATGATATAACACCTCGTTGGACCACATTAATCATGCAATTATTGTCATCATAACGAACCTTAATTATCTATAACTATGTTCATTTCTTTTTACCTAAAGATTTAAGATTTGGACACCCAGAGAGCAGAGCATGGACTGTAACTAAACTCAGATCTGGAGATCTTTCCACTTGCAACTCCTAAAACCAACCCTAAATTTGTATTCCCAAACTCTTGGCAAACTGATGGTGTAAAGCTTAGATATTTCAAACTTTGACTAATTGACTTTAGCAGAATTCGTAGTTTAATATATCAAGGTCTACGACATCAGATCTCGACGATCATAAAAAAGAGTTTGAGGAGAGTAAACAGTTCTTTAAAAGAATAAGTTTAAAGACACCTGAAGATTCTTTAAACATCCATTCTCTAAAGCCTGGAGAATAAGAGAGTCAGTGACATGAGTCGAACAGCCTGGATCAAGCAAAATTTAGAAATTTAAAGGGAGTGTTCACCATTTTAAGTTTCGCAAATGAAAATTTACCTAGATGAATTATTTTCAGATTTATCCCTGCTCTGAGAAGCCAAGCGGTGTATTCCTCCCTGAACCAGTCAGCATAAATAATTTTGGAAAAAATCAATATAAAAAACATTTACAAAAAAGTTCTGGCCGAAACTTATTAGCAAATATTGAAAGGGACAGATCGGCTATGTAAGGTAGTTAAACTGAGTATGCAGTGTTGTGGACAAATTCTTTAGGATTTTTTTAAGACATCTAAAACTTTTCCATGGTGTAAATTACTGAGTTTGAGTGCATAGTCGACGTTCAAAATCATGAATTTGGGTGGAAACGTTTTCAGAATCGTTTTTTTAGACTATAAAATAGCGACGACATAAATTAAAGTAAAAATTATACATTAAACTAATTAGATGGTTAGGAACTTAGGAACCTATTTCTCAAAAGAAATTTGTCAATAAATCAATGCTTGAATTATTTCGTTTTCATCATTAAATTGAATTCCTTACTTTCTTTGAATTTATTCGCAGATTTCTACAAATTTTTCAAAAGTCGTCTTTTCAATAAAAATTTCAGAAAATCTGCAGAAAATCTTTGTGAATAATGAGAAAATAGAAACCAATAATTGAACAAGAATACATATTTTCGATAATAAGAATAATTTTTATTTTCTCAACCTGTTCCTAAACAACTAATTGTAGAATTTTGTTTACATTTATTGTCGTCGTTATTTAATAATTAAAAAAAACAATTCTGAAAACGTATTCACCCAACAGTACGATTTTGAACGCCGACTTTGCGCTCAAACTCAGTATTTACAGATCTTTAAAAAGTTTTATAAGTCTCAAATGAATCGTAATGAATTTGTCCACAACACTGCATACTCAGTTTAACTACCTTACATAGCCGGTCTGTCCCTTTAAAGGTCATTTTCTTTTTCTAGATTGGTATATCCTATATTCACAACGGTGCCCTTGTAACCTATAAAATTCATGAAATAAGAAAAATATTATGCTATAATATAATGCTCCTTGTATTTGAAGTAAGCACCAGCTCCTTTAGTTTACAAACCTTCTCTACAACATGAACCCCACCAAACTGAGAACTAAAAAAAAAATTTAAAATTTATTAAAATTCCAAATTTTCCATCTCTCATTAAAGATGTAAAATCCAACCTGAAGTCACAGTTGTTGAAAACTATCCCATTAAGATTGTCACAGACCGAGAATATCGCTTTGAGACTGAAGATGTCTAAACCTTTCACAGATATTAATCCTGAAAATAGAAAATAATATTGAGATAAGAAAACATATTATTTTCCATTTATTTTACCAAGATTATGAAGACGACCTCCAACAGCTTGAATGAGTTTGTCCATCTCACTTGACGTCCAGTGACCTCCATGCAGTTGAAGGTCCGTCAAGTGTTTTAAATCTTTAAAAAGTATATTTTTAATTTGATTAAAGTAGGAGACCAACCCCGACACAATAGACCTTTTATGGTACTGTATGTACTGTACAGTGTACAGTACATTGCAGAACCTGAAATTTTTTATCATTTGTTTAGTTAATACATGAATGGTGGAATTTAGTATGAACTTACAATAGGGAGTAGGGATAAACCTGAATAAGGAGTAGGGATGGGTATTATAAATTTTGATAGATAGTAGGGATTGGAATTATGAACCTGAAAAAGGGAATAGGGATTGGTATTAATAATAACCGGAAAGAGGGAATAGGGGTGGGTATCATAACTCTGGATTAGGGAGTAGGGAATTACAGTCAAGACCTGCTTTGGAATTAAGTAGGTATGGGTATTACAATTAGGAATTGTTATAATGAACCTAAATTAGGGAGTAGGGATTATAGGGAGGGGCATTATAACCTTTTCATAGAGAGTAGAGATGGGCATTATAAACCTGAAATGGGAAGTAGGGATGGGCACGTATCTCTGTGATGAATGAATAACATTTTTTCAATCCTAGGACACATTCGAGACACAATTTCTAAATAAATAAGACCTAAAATTATCCTGTAAAAAGTAGTGAAAATATAAATATGAAATATATGATTTCAGATATTACAATTTTTCCGTTCATGGAAATTATAAATTTAAAGTAAAGTGAATCCCAGACATATGAATACAGAGCAAAAGTTTTATTATAATGTCGTTTTACATATATAAGCTCAATTATGCCGCGGAAAAATGAGTTTAATATTAATATATCAATTGCATCAATATTTCAGGGCTATATTAAAGTCATTTTTCCGCGGCATTTGATCTTAAATATGTAATACGACATTATAAAAAACTCTTGCTATGTATTTATATATCTGGGATTCACTGTATGTTGAAATAATGCTTTTTATTCCGATAACATTAAATTAAATTGACTTTTTCAAAATAAATACTTTTTGTGTTTGAAGTTCATATGATCATATAATTCATTAAAGCAACTGTATCAGACGGTATTTCAAGTGGTCAACCATTAAAACAAAGTGACATGTCCGATTCACAACGAAGAAAATGTCGTCATTATTCTGATTCAAACCGTGTTAACTTCTGACCTTCCTTCATTGTCTCTAGAGCATAATTCCCCCAGACACTTTTATAGGGAAATAAGAAATAGAGAAAAAGTATCTTATTTTAACCATTGTGAATCGGATATGCCACTCAAAAACGGAGAGTCACTAGAAATTACATGTACAGATTCTAACATGCATTTTAAATATTATAACAATAAATTTATTAAAATGCTGTCTATCAAGCTTTTAAAAAATCATCCAAATAAAGAAGATAAGTCAAGGTAACCTAGCTGCCATGTTTCATGAAAGTAGTAGGACTGTGAAGGCATGAACTCTCTAATATCAAACACTGGATCCTGAAATTTAAACCACTGAGATAAATCCTTAACTCATAAAAATCTCCGAAAAAACTCCCCCCCCCCCATCCCTATAATTTTTCAAAAGAAAAGGTGCACATATGGATTATGGGGTGAGTTTTGTCCGTCGATGAATTTTTCAGCCCCCCCCCCCCCTTCTAGATCCTTTAAGGAATAATTGTTATTAATACCTCCAATTCCTCCAAGTAGTCAATCCAACCAAGAGCATCACAAAGAAAGTCTGCCCGAGTTAAATGTCTACAAAGATAAAAATTCATTCTGATTCGGCCATTTTGTTTTCAGCTGTTACCACAGAGAAGAAAACAAAATGGCAGGTTTACCCGTTTTCTATGCATCTTTTTTTCTACTCTGTGGCTGTTACCTAAGTTTTGGGAGTCCCATGATTAGCCGAGCCTTGCTTTCATCGTTGATTTTTGTTCCGTAAATATTTAGTTCTACTAGATGGGAACACTGGAGTATAACAGGAACACTATCAGAGCAAATCCTCTTACTGTTCTCAACATCAAGTACCCTAAATATTTAGTTCTGTAATTGTTGGGAACACTGGAGTATAACAGGAACACTATCAGAGCAAATTCACAACATAAAGTACCCTAAATATTTAGTTTTTATAGTTGGGAACACTGTAGTATAACAGGAACACTATCAGAGAAAATCTAATTACTATTCTCAATATGTTTAGACATAAAGTACCTATAGAGTATAGACAGAGTTACTTATTCAATAGAAAAATTAGACACAATGTTTTAAAGCAATTGATTCTTTCCCACAAACTAAAATTTTCCCATCCATAAATCTTTGCAACCTGATGGTATAAACCTTTAATATTTCAAGCTTTGATTATTTGATCTAAAGACAGAATTGAAAGTTTGAAATATCTTACATTAATTAAATACAATGATTATTGAGTGAGTGGAATAATGCAACTCTGTGAATTTGTATTGGTTACGCTCTAAGGGTATGTTTTTAACCATTTTCTCATTAATGTAACAGATAGAAAAAAAATTAGTAGCGATCAAGTTCGAATTGTATTTGATATCAGCCTATAGTGTAGTACCAGGTTGAGATAATCTATCTGAGTGTTTTACTTATAGAGTTTAGATAATTACCTGAGTTATGTACCAGAGTTTAGATAATCTACCTGAGTGATATACCAGAGTTTAGATAATATACCTGAGTGTTGTACCAGAGTTTAGATAATCTACCTGAGTGATGTACCAGAGTTTAGATAATCTACCTGAGTGTTGTACCAGAGTTTAGATAATATACCTGAGTGCTGTACCAGAGTTTAGATAATATACCTGAGTGTTGTACCAGAGTTTAAATAATATACCTGAGTGTTGTACCAGAGTTTAGATAATATACCTGAGTGTTGTACCAGAGTTTAGATAATCTACCTGAGCATTGTACCAGAGTTTAGATAATATACCTGAGTGTTGTACCAGAATTTAGATAATATACCTGAGTGATGTACCAGAGTTTAAATAATATACCTGAGTGTTGTACCAGAGTTTAGAACTACTGCTGATAAAATGTCCATTGTACAATCCTTCTTCAGAGAAAAGATTTGAAGCTGCTTAAGCTCGCTGATGCTACAGGATAAATGTAGTGCAGCAGCTCCCTGATCAGTGAAAAAATAATTAAATGGACTGGAGAGGTTTTTCTCAGTAACATGTTCTATTCTCAATGGTATCCATCAAAACTTTAGTTTGATCAAGGATAAGGAGATATTATTGTTTTCCGAGCAAAAAATTAAGTTATGTGAATTGACCATTCTTGAAATCTTGTCTACAGTCCTTTAATTTACAGAAAAATTGTTTGTTTTAATTTTCCCTTTATAGGGATCCATCCCCCGGAGGATCCTGGTCCAATGATAAGTGTTGAAAGGTTGAGAAACTGTGGAATAAGTTCAAGTATTCTAGATCTCATGGTCCGCGGAACATCGCCAAAATCTGAAAAGTATTTTTATAAAAGAACTGATTACTCTAAACTCTATGCATACTCTAATTTTCTAATCATTTGATAGAGCAAAAAGTGCAAGTTTGAAATATTAAACTTGTTGCAAAATTAAAGGGATTGGAAAATTAGAGTTTTAGGCAAGTAATCAGTTCTTTACTTTGGAAAATTGGTTCAAGCCTAGAATATGAATAATAATGCTCTATAGATACTTGGTTTTGGTCGGAGATTTTCAAAATATATTTGGAATTTTTTTTTTTACCTAGTTTATTTAGCTTCGGCCATTTGAGAACATCTGTGAATTTAGAGACTGCTTCTAGTACTTTAGAGTACTGGGTGTGATCTTTATCAGGTCGCCAACTTTTCCTTACCTTAAAGGGACTGTAAAAGAGAAGTTTTCTTTAAAGGGCTTGTTCCCAAAAAGGTTTAAAGAAAGACGATTTTTTAATTGGATTGTTGATCAAATTTGGTTTGAACAAAGAAGTTATTGTAAAAGAATTATTCATCAAATAGGTTGAATAAATAAACCTTTGTTGTTAGTCATATATGTTTTTCTTTCGCCTTCTCAATTGATTGCAAATCTCAAAAAATCAAACAAATCATGAAAAATTTGAAGATGTTAGTGGTGAAGAAATTGGACTAATAAAGAAAAAAAATTAAGATAAAAATTCTTCTAAATGAAAAGAAAAAAATTTGAAACCTGGAGAAAGCCATCCTCCATCCCCTTCATAACAAGCTTAAACACCTCTTCCCTGTCAGTCCAGATCTATGAAGAAGAGAAAAGAAATTAAATTTTCCCTCAAACTAATTTTTAAAATTCAGCTATACCCTTTTAACCTTTACTGAAATGCCAAGGGACTACGACCTCGGGTTAAAAATATATTGAAATAAAAAAATTAGAGTTTGAGGGAAAACTTAATCAATTTCAAACTATTGTCTCTGTTTAATCAAACAGTATATGAATTTTAAATATCAAAGGTTAACGCCAGCAGATTGCAAGGATATGGGAATTAGGAAATTTTAGTTTGTGTGAAAACTCAATTCCTTTGGTTTAAAGAAAACAATATATTGCTGTCAAGAATTTTTTTTAAAAATTGAGTATTTCATTAATCAAAGCAAAATAAAGTGGGTTAAAAAACATTGGCATGTTTAACTTGAACTATTTTGGTTAAACGAAATTATTTATGCTTCCCATCATCATAAAAACAAAAATGACAGACCACACTTTGGAAATCCCAGTAAAAAGGGTATATTTAAGAGTATTGCTTCAAAATTTAATTGTAATTTCAAGTAACCAGATTTATTGTTAGAGAGTTAGATGTTCTATTCACAACGGTGCCATTAAAACCTTTGTTGTTGTTCGAGCATGCTCCTCTGTCATCTATGTAAATTAAGGTCACATTGAAATAAAACAAGAGATTATACGAGGGAGGGAAGGCCAAGCGGCCATGAACCCCGTGGAAAAGTCTCCGAAACCCTGCAGAAACAGTCTCCGAACCCCGTGGAAAATCTCCAAACCCTGCAAGGAGCAAAAAATGTGTTATTCTGGGGGAAATCGCATTATTTTTAAATTTTTTTCAACATATGGCACAGGATAAAACAAAAGTATTACTAATAAATGCAATTTTGATCTTATTCACGGCCCTAGTATATGTTTATTTTGTATTCCTTTTTTAAGCTTAAACTTTAAAATGGACCTACGCTACAACGCACAATGTTTTTAGTATTTCAATGATATTTTTCATGAAAATGCAATAACATGTTTTAACGTAGTCCACCACTTTTTTATTCCCGTCATCAAAGGGCATTTACTCCATAATATCATTTTTTACTGTCTCCCCTTTAAAAGTGACCTACGCTGTAATTATTATATCTACACACGCAAGAAACATAAATATTGAATAAGAATGACATTTTGCATTTGCAAGTTTTACCACCTTTAAATTTTTTTGTATCATCGTAAAGTTATTTTTAATTAAAAGTATATAATCTTTTTCTGCATTTCTAACGATTATCTAGTTTCTCGTCTTCATTCTATTTTGAAATAAAGGGGGGGGGGCAAGAAACGTATTTCCTAGGGGGCTGAATTTTTCATGCGAGCTGAAAATTATGTATGTTACATGCATTTTTTGGTTTTGAACGGATCTGAGCAAAAGTGCACTCGAGCCCTTTTTGTGAAAATTTACGACTTTTTTTACAGTAAATCAATTTTAACTTCATTAATTGCACTTGAACATTTATCCTGATACTCTTGAAAAAATATGCGCTCAAAAAATTCACCCCCAAAGCCTTAAATGTCCGTGCACGAGCAATAAAAGAAAATATCTTTGAATACTTATTTGCTAAGTTTGGCCTAAAAGTAGCATAAGATACATCAAACTATAGCAAAATTGGGACAGGAACTCATTTCCGTGGTCAAAATAAACATTGGAGCCTTCTGACCAGCGCTCTAGTAGCCAGCAGTTTTTTGAGCGCATTTTTTTTTTAAGAGTATCAGGATAAATGTTCAAGTGGAATTAATGAATTCAAGATTGATTTACTGTGGAAAAAGTCGTATTTTTGACAAAAAGCGCGCGTGCACTTTTGCTCAGATCCGTTCAAAACCAAAAAGTGCATGTAATATACATAATTTTATGCTCGCATGCAAAAAATCAGCCTCCAAGGACACTGCTAAGTTGTGTTTAAACACTGCTTAAATTTCCCGGAGAGTAATACGTTTCGTGCTCCTGCCCTGGCACCCCCCCCCCCCTTTTGTTAAGGTTCATTTAAATAACAAATTTTATTTTATAAAGCAGGTATCGAAATATTCGAAGACGGACCAATTAAGAATGTAAGTACAGGGTTACCCACTAAAGATGAAACTTAGGAGACGTTAAGAATTTATTAGAATATTTTTCAAAAATTTATGGTATCTTTTTTTTGCCAAATAATTGCAATAACTTGAAAACATAATTAAAGCAAAAGCCAAAGTTAAAACTTAGATCGTCAGTTTTGAAAAGCTCATGGTCTTAGCTATAGTCTCATCCCTTAGACGTTTTAGAAGTCTTGTGTTTTTTAATAATCCTAAAAACTTGCGAAAATACTCATTTCAATTTGCTCCAGTTATTTTGCTAACAATCCTATGGATTATATTTACCAACTTGGAACATTTAATTACTGAACAAAGTTAACTAAATGAAGATTATTCCACAATGAAGACACACGCCGAATTAGGCCTTCTAACATCAACAAGTAGTCACTTAGTAATAAACAAGTTAATTAGTAAAACCATTAGTTGGAAAAGAATGCTTACTTTAAAAAGCTATTAAATTCACAACTTTATTAGTGGGAAGCAATGTAAAATGAATGACTTTAATGAAGGGTATAAAACAAGGTGAAAGCTGAAAGGTATGTAATGAAGCCTTTATTAGATTGAGTTTGTAAATCCCAGAAATGCAATGAGTGGAAAATGCAAATCAAACCCAATTAAAACCAATAATTTGATATACATCATGATAATTTTCTAGGTTGGGGGTAAAAAAATTTCTAGGGTGGGGTAAAAAAATTTCGGCGCGCTTCGCCCCCCCTACAGAATCCTTATATCCGCCCCTGGTAATAAACATAATTCTATGAATAGTGTCATACTTGAGATCCACCTTTTTTACGGGAATACAACATTTGGAGACAAAGACAATTAAAATAATAATGAAAATTATTTCTTTAACTTGATTATTACATTTATTGAGTCCATATGTCGAGAAGATTGGAAAATTATTGCTAATTTACAAGTAATATTTATATTTGATAACGTTTTTTTCAAAAAACCTCCTCCACGGGGTTCGGAGACTTTCCACGGGGTTTGGAGACCATTCCACAGGGTTCGGAGATTTTCCACGGGGTTCATACTCACCACATGTTGAAGAATGTACTCTCTGAACTTAATGATGTAATTGTCCACAATTTTATCAGAACTGACCTCAAAGTCCCCTGAATGTACACTTAATAATTTCTTTTCACAAAACTCAAAAACTTCTGTTTACCTTTACCTACGGAACCTCATCTATATTTGTAAAGACCCTGTATACCTGTAAAGACCCTGCTTACCTGTAAAGACCCTGTATACCTGTAAAGACCCTGTATACCTGTAAAGACCCTGTATACCTTTAAAGTGTATACCTGTAAAGAGCCTGTATACCTGTAAAGCCACTGTAAACCTGTAAAGACCCTGTATACCTGTAAAGTGTATACCTGTAAAGACACTGTATGACTGTAAAGACCCTGTTTACCTGTAAAGACCCTGTATACCTGTAAAGACCCTGTATACTTTTAAAGACCCTGTATACCTGTAAAGACCCTGCATACCTGTAAAGACCCTATTTACCTGTAAAGACCCTGCATACCTGTAAAGACCCTGTATACCTGTAAAGACCCTGTATACCTGTAAAGACCCTGTATACCTGTAAAGACCCTGTTTACCTGTAAAGACTCTGTATACCTGTAAAGTGTATACCTGTAAAGACCTTGTATACCTGTAAAGACCCTGTATACCTGTAAAGACCCTGTATACCTGTAAAGACCCATACCTGTAAAGACCTTGTATACCTGTAAAGACCCTGTATACCTGTAAAGACCTTGTATACCTGTAAAGACTCTGTACCAGGAGCTCTGTGTAGCATGTGCTGCTCTCACAATATTCTCTTTGACTAGTTTGGGGACAGCATGGAGAGAACAGGATCGTAAACTTAGAACCTATATCATCAAATCAGAAAACCCCCTATATCTTTGTAATTTATTTGTAAATTTTTAAATACAAAACATGTTGGAAATTACCAAAAGATAGATCAGGAAGGCTCAGTTTATTTGGCAAAGTTTAAATTCCCTGTAAAACATGTAACTTTTTACATTAAAAATGAAAATTGTAGTTCTTGTTATAAAACATTATTTTCAAATTGTCTTATTTTAAACCATCTCTAACCTGTCTATGTTTCACCATCTCGTCTAGCGTGCAGTTAGAACACGAAAATAATAACTTGATTTTGAAAATAAGGTGCGGATAGAGAGGTCTAGGATACTTTTAGCAGATATTAGATATTAGAGCAAAATTTCAAAAATGCCTGTTGATAATTTCTACTGTTAACAGCTCTATTTAGATTCGAGTTTCCAAGTAATATAATGAAAATTATTGTTATGATCACATCAGCTGTTTTGCCTTAACTTGTCGGTACGGTCAGCTTAACAGCTTCCCGGTATAGTCAGATGAAAAAGCTTGACTAGCAGTGTACGGTGAACTGAGATGGCTAGTCTAGCAGGTAAGAAGGCTGGACGAGCCGGTTCGGTCAGCTGAGCAGGCTGGGCTAGTCGGTACGGTCAAATATGTTAAATATTGAAGATGCGCATTTATGATTTTTGAATATTTGATATCTTGCCAAATGATAAACAGAAACTAATGAGTTTATAACAGGGGTTTCCCATTTTTTAAATAATTAAATTGGGCCGACAATTACAATTCAATTTTGCTTTTTATTTCATGAACAAAGTTTACTTTGAGGAACAACTTTTTCTTTAAATTAAATGATCACAGTCTTCATAGTCGTTGAATCTGTTTATAGTACACCCCTGCTGTATTTTAAACTTTAGATTCTGCTAATCAAATAACGAAAGTTTAATTTACGTTTACACTTTTTGCAGGTAAACCATTCGCTTTATAACAAAATCAAATATACTATAAGACTATAAGACTATAAGACTATAGATGCCGTTTTACTGTTTCACAGTTTTACATTGTACAAGCTGTTCATTGTACAAAGTGCAGTGTATTGAAATTAGAGGATTTGTTTAAATAAATTATCTATGAAGGTTGAATTAATGAATTGATGAATTAAACCCTGTTTCCTTGCCTTCCATTTCAAGGAGTCTCATTCTCTCCAACCTGAGGGATAAAGCTAGAATTAATTCCCGTGAAATTTTGATTCTTTTGGTGACAATGTGACCATTTTAGACCGGGAGGCGGGGGGGGGGGGGGTTAAAACTAAACCCCAAGGCTGATTTAGTTTTTAATGAATGAATGAATGAGATGTGAAACCATTTTCGAGCTTGTTTTAGCATCTGGTCAAATGCTAATCTTTTCCTTCTACCCTGCTACCCTGCTACCCCACGGTAGGGTACTTTAGGGGGTCTGGGGGGGTGACTGGTTTTTGTCACAATACTCCTCTTAAAATGCATTTGTCTTGAGTTTCATGGTGAGAATGGACAAAATGAATATTTTCTGATAATCACTTCAGTTACAATTGTAGCCTGCATTGATTTATAATGATTTCATTTTATAATTACTTTTTCCGTTCATATGTTTATTCTTTAATGGATCCTGTAATCCAGCAATATATTATAGATTTCGTCTTTGTTACAGCCATTTCGGAAGAAAAACATGTAGCTTTTTTACACAAAAATTACAACGGATTCAGGATAATCTAGATATATAAATAGATTCTAACAACTATTAATCAAAGATGTAGGGGAGCCCAAGTATTGATTTGGGCTCTGATTTGTGTAACCTGCTACTCTGCTACCCTGCTACCCTACTACCCTGTTACCCTTCTAGCCTGCTACTCTGCTACCCCGTTACCCTGTTACCCTGTTACCCTGTTACCCTGGTACCCTGGTACCCTGTTACCCTGTTACCCTGTTACCCTACTACCCTGCTACCCTGCTACCCTGCTACCCTGCTACCCTGCTACCCTGCTACCCTGTTACTCTGCTACCCTGCTACCCTACTACCCTGCTACCCTGCTACCCCGTTCACCTGTTACCCTGCTACCATGTAAAGACCTTGTATACCTGTAAAGACCCTGTATACCTGTAAAGACCTTGTATACCTGTAAAGACTCTGTACCAGGAGCTCTGTGTAGCATGTGACTACCCTGCTACTCTGTTACCCTGCTACCCTGATACCCTACTTCTCTGCTACTTTGCTACCCTGCTACCCTACTACCCTGCTACCCTGTTACTCTGCTACCCTGCTACCCTACTACCCTGCTACCCTGCTACCCCGTTCACCTGTTACCCTGCTACCATGCAACCCTGATACCCTACTACTCTGCTACTCTTCTACCCTGCTACCACCCTGCTACCCTGCTACCCTGCTACCCATTACATATGTCAATTATCTAAAACAATTTCCAAAACAAAGGAAGAGAATGACCAAGTCTAGGTGAGTGGACAAGGGGTAGAATTAACTCATGCTGGGGAGGGGGGGGGGGCTGGGTGATGGTTCCCTTCTTTAAACAAAGAGTAAAAGTAAATGTCATTTCTAGTAATTAGTTTGAGTGTAGAACCCCCTAGGATTATATTGTTATGTTTGTATTGTGTGTGAAAAAGAAAAGAACGCTTTCAATGGAATTAAAGATAAAATAACATTTCAACGAATCATTCCTTACTTTTGCAAATAAAATTTCACAGTGTTTTAACACACATTAATTCCAGTCAATGTACGTTTTTCTTCATTATTTTCATCCTTTTCTCAACTCATCCTTACTTTTTCTTATAGGTTTTCCAACGTGGATTTCATGCATGCAGGCCCTGTAATTTCCTCGCAATTCCGTTAATTTCCGATTGGAAATCTTACTTATTTTGGCCTTTTGTTGCTGTCAACGAAATCGTATTATCCTTTCTTCCCTAATTCTATCCTATTCTATTCTTCTTTTTACTTCTTGCACGTCTTTTCTCTTTTTTTCTCATTCTATCTTATCCCTTAATTTCAAATTTAATTTACTCATTCTAATCCAATATTTCCCGTACGTTCTTTTCCTCCACATATCTTACTTTTCCTTCTCATCCTCTACATTCCTTTCATCCACATATCTCCCTTTTACTTCTCATTCTGTATTTTCTTTCCCTCCTCATATCTACCTTTCCCTCCTCATATCTACCTTTCCCTCCTCATATCTACCTTTCCCTCCTCATATCTACCTTTCCCTCCTCATATCTACCTTTCCCTCCTCCATATCTTCCTTTCCCTACTTATATCTTTCTTTTCCTCCTCATATCTTCCTTTCCCTCATCATATCTTTCTTTCCCTCCTCAAATCATCCTTTTCCTCCTCATATCTACCTTTCTTTACTTATTTCTTCCTTTGCCTCCTCTTATCTTCCTTTCCCTACTCATATCTTCCTTTTCCTCATCATATCTTCCTTTCCCTACGTATTCCTTTCCCTATTTATATCTTCCTTTCCCTCATCGTATCTTCCTTTCCCTACTTATATCTTCCTTTCCCTTCTTATATCTTCTCATTCTGTATTTCCTTTTCTTTCATATATCTTTTCTTCTCACCCTATATTTACTTTCCCTCTCATCATATCTTTTTTTTCCTTCTCGTCCTATTCTTTCTTCTCCTCCTATATTTCCGTTTCATGTTCATCATATTCTTCCTTTTCTTTGGTATTTATCCTTATATCCGTATATTATGTTTTTTTCTTCTTTCTTTCTTTTTTTCTTTCTTTTTTTCTTTCTTTTTTTCTTTCTTTCTTCATTTGTTGGTCTTTCATTATATTTTCCTTTTTTAAATATCCCCCCCTCCCCCCTCTCTATATAAAGGATACATGTATAAGTTTCCATTAAGCATATTAGTAGAACGTATTGTCGTCAGATCAGCAAGTGTTGATACTGTAATATTCATTCATGGACTTTATACAGACATTTTACACATCATCTTATTTTGTTTCCGTTGCATAGATTCAACAATCCAAAATAGCTAAATTAAAAAACAAGAACTTAGATTGCTTTGTTAGGATTTCAATGTAAACATTTCTACGTCATGGTTCAGTGAAGACGACCTATAAACTCTCTCTGAAATATTTTTGCTCTATGGTGATATTGTATTGAATATTGTGTGCTGAAACATGTTTCAAAACATTACTCTGTTCAATCCATCAATCAAGCTTTCAAACCCACTCGGTCGAACCCTAATCGGACCCAAATACCCGGAAACGTTCTAAAATATCATTTTATTAAGTGTCATTAAACGAGTATTAGTATAAAGGCGACATTTGGTCGGATACAATACAAAAAAGGAAGAGTTTCAGCAATTTTACTTTCAACAATAGTGAAGTCTCAGCCAACAGGCTTCCAGTGCGTTTCACGCCCTTTTCTAATATTTAAAATTTATATATTTTACTTTACCTGCTTTTTCTGCGTATATTTAAACAAATTTGTTAAGATTTTGAAGATTTTTTATTTTTTTTTGTATTTTTTCAAATTTTTTAACCGACTTTTTCCGAGGCAACTTTTTTTTATTCCGACTAGCCAGAGAAACTTTAGGTCATGTAAGACAAAATATCTATCTGTCTATCTGTCTTTCTGTCTGTCTATCTATCTATCTGTCAATCTGTCAATCTGACAATCTGTCAATCTGCCAATCTGTCAATCTGTCAATCTGTCAATCTGTCTATCTGTCTATCTGTCTATCTGTCTATCTGTCTTTCTGTCTTTCTGTCTTTCTATCTGTCTATCTGTCTATCTGTCTATCTATCTATTTGTCTATCTGTCTATCTGTCAATCTGTCAATCTGTCTATCTGTTCTGTCTATCTGTCAATCTGTCTATCTGTCAATCTGTCTATATGTCTGTCTGTCTATCTGTCTATCTGTCTATCTATCTATTTGTCTATCTGTCTATCTGTCAATCTGTCAATCTGTCTATCTGTCTATCTGTCTATCTGTCAATCTGTCTATCTGTCAATCTGTCTATATGTCTGTCTGTCTATCTGTCTATCTGTCTATCTGTCTATCTTTCTATCTGTCTATCTGTCTATCTGTCATCTGTCATCTCAATGTTTTCGGAAATAAAGTCTAGAAAGAAAACGCGAAGTCACGTGGAATAATTCTAGTAGCACTAGCAGAAGCAGGAGTAGCAGGAGCTCTTTTTATAATTACTTTTCCACTGGTAAAATGTCCAGTCATAGACAGGGTGTCGGAAACATTTTAAAACGAAAAGATATCTAAGCCACTGAATTAAACTCTGAAATGGAAGAAATGGAAGAAATTATTAACATTTTAAAATTGCAATGATGATAACAAAGTATAATTGTCAAATTTTTAGGATTCACTACAAAAAAGGGGTTTGTATTCATGTATTTTACCAGATATATTGTGAGTCCTAGTAAACTGAAAACTGACTAAATCCAAGAAATATATAGACCAGGAGCTGCCATATCTCATGCGTCAAATCTGTGTACTACAGTGGGAGGAGGAGATCAAAGCAAAGAATTCAGGAGCAAC